TGCTGTGCTGGTTTCCGAACCAGGACAGCCGCCTCCAGCGCCTCGCTTTTCCCTGGGGTCCTCCTCCTCCTGCCCCAAGCCCGGCGGCGATGTGACCCTGTTCAGATGGCAGGAAGGATAATTTCACAGCCCGATGCTCCCCTGGCTGTTGGCGTTTCTACTCAAACTTTTGATCCCAGGGGAAATGAAGGAGTGCGGGCAAAACTGACGGTGCTCTTCCAAATTTTCTAGGGGAATTAAAAAACCCCGATGCGTTCACCCAGTCGATACAGCAGTTTCTCAGCATCTCCTTTTTAACCTTAACAGATTGCACAGTATTCACTTAAGAAAAAACAAGGAAGAAAGCCCTTTCTTGCACCAGCTTCGGCAGTAAGTGCACATCTGGTGCCTCGGCTCTTGTTTCCCTCTCTTTACCCCCAGCTTCTCTTTCCCAAAATGGAGGAGGAGAGTTTTGTCCTTCACCTTCTGACTCCGACCTCGGAGTTTCTGGCTCTGGGACAGCATCTCTGAGCACATCCAACCTTCTTCACTGCTTCCATGTGCAGTGCCGTGAGCCAGCTAATGCTGCCGGAGTTTAAAGGAGCATTTTGTGGTTGTTCTGAAAGAAGTGGTGGCGAGTGGCAGAGAGGGGGTTGCAGAATCACAGCATGTTCGGGGTTGGCAGGGCCCTCTGTGGGTCACCCAGCCCAACCCCCTGCCCAAGCAGGGTCACCCAGAGCAGGCTGCACAGCACCGCGGCCAGGCGGGGCTGGAATATTTCCAGAGAAGGAGACTCCACAGCCTCCCTGGGCAGCCTGGGCCAGGGCTCCGTCACCCTCAGAGGGAAGAAGTTCTTCCTCATCTTCAGCTGGAGCTTCCTCTGCTTCAGTTTGTGCCCGTTGCCCCTTGTCCTGTCGCTGGGCACCACTGGAAAGAGTCTGGTCCTTTCCTCCTGACACCCCCCCTGCCGATATTTGTAAACATTTATTAGGTCCCCTCGCAGCTTTCTCTTCTCCAGCAAGCCCGCCTGCCTCAGCCTCTCCTCGCAGGAGAGATGCTCCAGTCCCCTCCTCATCCTTGCAGCCCTGCGCTGGGCTCTCTCCAGTAGCTCCTCATCTTTCTCGAAGGGGGGAGCCCAGCACTGGACCCAGCACTGCAGATGGGGCCTCCTTGCCAGGGCAGCTGGAAGCATGTGGCAAAGGTTTCCAAGGGTGTTATAGCTAAAAGCGGGGCAGAACTGAGCCGGAAAAAAAGCTATTTTCTCCTGAAAGTATGTCTCCCGTGTGATGTCCTGGTCACTGCTGAAAGGTTTGTCTGTCTTTGAGCCCGGAGCAGGGGTGTCTCAGCTAAGCGCTGCGTCCAGCTCGGCATCCCCTCGGATGCCCCCTGCACGGCACAGCCGCTCCCAGGGGAACCGCACGGCGGTCGCTGTTTTGGTTAACTCCCTTCCTCGGGCTCCGCAGCCTTTCTGTGTGCTAGGAACTGCCGCTTTCCGTGTCACCTCTTGTAGTGGGAGCCTTTGTTTGAAGCTGCAAAGTGGAACTTTTTCATTCAAGGTTTTTTTTCCCCTCCTCCGTCATTATTTAAAAAAAAGTAAAAAAAACCCAAAAAACCCCACCTGAGGAAGCTGCTCTGTGAAACATCAGCACAAACACTGGCCTTTGTGCGAAACCCAAGAAAATACTGAGCCAGAAAGTGGTTTAAAACAGAATAAATAGATCTTCCCTTCTTCTCTGAAGGCAGCACGAAGCAGGAGGCTGATCTGCTGATGAAAGCTGTTCGGCAGCTCTTGTTATGGTAGGGACGCTTCCAACCGC